AAAAAAAAAAAAAAATTAGTTTTCCCATGTCCCCATAAAAAGAATGGAGCCAAATATGGCAAATGTGGAGGCCAAGAAAATGGTCCACCTCTTCTAATTAATCTGTTAGGGAATTTCTTATGTAGAAACTGTCTAACATGCAAACCAAAGTGACAAGGAACATCATCTTGTTGAAACTGTATTCTCTGTTAGTCCTAATTGTTCAAATTGAGAAATAAAGTAATTTTGCAGCATTTATAAATAGCTATCACCGTTAACATGTTCTTCAAAAAAGAATGGCCCTATGACTCGATTTTTTTTCCCAAAGCATACGACACATTAACTCTGGGAGAATCTCTTTCATGTTCAACAGATTCATGTGGATTTTCAGTTCCCCAAATTTGGCAATTAGGCCTGTTGACCTTGCCGCTAATGTGGAATGTTGCTTCATTGGAGAACATTAAATTACTGAAAAATGCATCATCATTGCTAAGTTTTTTGTTGAACTGGTGACAAAATGTTGTGCATCATAATCCTCTTCTAACAACATCTGATGCACTTGAATTTTGTATGCTTTCATGTGAAGTCTTATCCACAGAATCTTATGCACAGTAGACTTTGAAAGCCTCAGCTCTAGTGATGCCTATCTTAATGCCTTTCTTGGACTTGCCTCAGAGGTTTCTTACATGGATGCTATAGTTTCTTCACTAACACATGGTCTACCAGACCATGACTTATCATTAACAGAACCTTTTTCTTTAAATTTTTCATTCACTTGGATATGGAATTCCTGTGTGGTGCTTCTTTCTTACAATGGATTCTAAACCTTCTTTGGATAGCAGCAGTAGATTTTAGTTCAACTAACCAAAGAACACAATTTACTTTCTCTTCTAGTGAAGCCATGGGTCAAGAGAGTCTCACTTTGTCACCCCTGGTAGAGTGCTATGGTGTCATAGCTCACAGCAACCTCAAACTCTTGGGCTCAAGTGATTTTCTTGCCTCAGTCTCCCAAATAACTGGGACTACAAGTGCCCGCCACAATGCCTGGCTATTTTTACTTTTTTTTTTTTCTTTTAATTCTATGTAATCTTTTTATTTTATTTTTTGCAGTTTTTGGCCAGGGCTGGGTTTGAACCCACCACCTTCAGCATATGGGGCTGGCGCCCTACCTCTTTGAGCCATAGGCGCTGCCCCACTTTTTTCTATTTTTAATGTTTGCTGCTTCTTTTTTTTGAGACAGAGCCTCAAACTGTCCCCCTGGGTAGAGTACTGTGGCATCACAGCTCACAGCAAGCTCCAACTCCTGGGCTCAAGCAAGTCTCCTGCCTCAGCCTCCCAGGTAGCTAGGACCACAAGTGCCCACCCCAACACCCAGCTATTTTTTGGTTGCAGGTGTCATTGTTGTTTTGGCGGGCCCAGGCTGGATTCAAACCCACCACCTTAGATGTATGTGGCTGGCACCTTAGCCACTTGAACCACAGGCGCCAAGCCCGGCTATTTTTAGAGAAGTCCTGCTCTGACTCAGGCTGGTCTCGAATTCATGACCTCAGGCGATTCACCCACTTTGGCCTCCCAGAGTGCTAGGATTACAGGTGTGAGCCACTGCACTGACCTGCAAATGCCATCTTTTTTCCCCATTCAGGGCTTGGAAAATTATAGTTCTGTCTGAAAGTGTGGGGGATGGCAATGCTTGCCAGAAGAAAGCAATCACTTCTGCCACACTAAAGACTTTAAATGTGGGCTGTGCACAGTGGCTCATGCCTATAATCCTAGCACTCTCTTCAAGGCTGAGGCGGGTGGATTGCCTGAGCTCAGGAGTTGAAGACCAGCCTGAGCAAAAGTGAGACCCCCGTCTCTACTAAAAACAGAAAAACTGAGGCATGAGGATCACTTGACCCCAAGTTGCAGCTTGCTGTGAGCTATGACACCACGGCATTCTATCCAGGGCAACAATTTGAGACTGTCTCAAAAAATAAATAAAGGGAGGCACCTATATCTCAGCAGCTAGGGTGCTAGCTACATCCACTGGAGCTGGTGGGATCGAACCTGGCCTGGGCCTACCAAACAATAACAACTACA